AGATGAAGTATGCCCTTAAAAAGTATGCAAATGTGTATGATTGCGACAAATTCCACCGCTTTATCGTGTCGGCAACGAGCCGAATGGGGGGAAGGTACACTTTCCAATGGTCCTGCAACTTTCGCCTGGGACGCCGCGTTTGTCGAATATACGCCGAAAAGGATCCAGACTCGCGGCCAGCAATTGGCCAGCAAGAGGCCAGCGGTACGCCTCGGTTACTGGGCGACGCGTTAGGAACAGGAACACGTGCACTTGTCACTGATCAAATACTTCTGTACCTGCCAGTAACAGTGGTAGCCGTTGGCTTTGAGGCTAAGCTGTTTGATGAGACGTCGAGTTCGTCGTCTGCGACGCTCCTCGCGTGGCAGACGTCGACGCGTCAGCCCGTCCTCCTCGACGTGGCCGTCGATCTCGTCGTGCAGGCCGGACAGCCCGAGGCCGGTCTCATCGACGCCGTTGCCGGGCGCGGAGTAGAGCCCCAATCCGAGGCTTGGCGACGAATCTCGATGCCTCAGACGCTGGTATTGCGGATGCTGGTAGGCGGCGACCGTCGCGCCCGTCGCCCGCGATAGGTTGGGGGTTCGAGTCTCGCCAGAGTCCTGTTGCCAGGTGTACGGATAGCCGGCGGCGTCCTGCCACCATATGAGTCCCGCGGCGCCCGGATGGCTCGAGTTGTCGGGGAACATTTGAGCTCGCGACTCCGCTTGCCGGCCCGTCTGGCCGGGGCTCATCCAGCCGCGCGGGCTCGAGCGCACGAGCCCGCCGGAGCCGGCGGAACTCGTGGCCGAGGCGATGCGGCGGCCCGCGGACGAGTGCGGCGTGAGTAGTTTCAGTTGGATGGCGTCATCGTGTCCGGCCGGCGTGAGGTCGTAGAAGCTGGAGCGGAAGACGTTGTTCCCGCCGGCCCAAGTCTGGCCGACGAGCGGTCCGACCGACCGACCCGTCTCGCCGGCCGTCAGACCGGCGGGACTCGAGCTGTGCAGGCCGGTGAAGTCGGTCCGTTTGCGAAGACGTTGTGTCGCGGCGCGCTTGCGTGACTGCGCCTGAGCGGCGTTCTCGCAGCGCCAATGCAGCAGCTGGAGACCTCGCGAGCCCGACGGTCGACATTGCATTCCGGGCGGCCAAGAACAGGAGCGATCCTGTCGGTTGAGGCAGACGCCGCGGCGGATCCAACGCGGCCAGAACAGCGGGCCCAAATCCTCCCAGACGAAGTCCATCTCGCAGGTGGCCAACTCGACGAGCCAGTTGCGGAAGAGGCTCGTCTGTGCCTCGGACAATTGCAAAGTGATGTTGAGGCCTCGTGCCTCCAGCACCAGTTTGGCGTCACGCTCGGCCAAACTCAACGCCGAACTGGCGGCTCCGGTGCCGCGTTGACGCAACACTCGCGGCGGCTCCTCCGACATCCAGTCACGGTCCAGACTGCCGGCCAATATCTTGCGCAGTTTGCGCGCTTTCCCACTCGACACGTCCGGCTGTAGATGGTTGACGATGCTCACGTCGATCGGCTGGCCGAGGATGTTGACATTCACTTTGGCGTAGTCTTGACTCCGTCGACTCGGTGGCCACACCTCCTCGCCGGGATCCGACGATCTCGACATGGCGTCGACCGTGGAATCGGCGAGTCCCGGCCTTGACGCACTCGAACCGAGGCCTGTGGAAGACGAAGCTCGCGCCTGAGCAGAAAAGCTGGACGATGAAGAGGCGCCTGAAAGCGACGACGACGACGATGACGACGACGACGACGACAACGATGATGAAGATGGACCGGAGGGTGGGGACAGTGAGGCCAATGAGCTGGTCTGTGCCTTGGAGAGCACGCCCAGGCTGATGCGACTCTGCGAGCCGAGCGCGAGTCCGAGTCCGCCGAACGCCGAGGCGGGCAGATGCGACGGCTCCCCGGGACCGGTCGACTCGGACGACTGGGCCGGCAACAGGGCTCGTGGACCGTTTGTCTGGTGGGCTCGGCTGACGCCCAGACCGGAGACATCGGACTCACCTGAATGGCCAATCCGGTTGCCGGGTGACAGTTGCGATGGAAACGGGAGCGTGGAGACGGCGTTGCGGGAGTCGGATGGGCTGGCGAGCCCGTCGGGCGGCAGAGGCAGGCAGACGAAGGCAAGGAAGAGAAGAAAGCTGCGATGGCACAGCCTCAGCTGGACGGAGAAGAGACGATGCACCGGAAGACTGTCCATTCTGGCCGCAGGCTCGTCTAGACGGAGGCTGGTCTGTGAGGCGGCAGCATTTTGTGTCTTAGGCCGCTTGGACTTTTGGAGGTGGGCCGAAGGTGAAATGTGAAAATGTGAAAATGTGAAAATGTGAAATTGTGAAAATGTGAAAATGTGAAAATGTGAAAGTGTGACCAAAATTAGACCAAATGTACATTCAACGCCCGACTGCGCATACTCCGCTCGTCGTCTGCAAGTGGCACAACAACAGTTGCTAGGGCGAGAATAGGGCAGTGGTCGGAGAGGAGGTCGCAAAAGCAGTTAGGCGAGAGTCGGAAGACTCTTTTTCGACGAATGTTCATCTGCCAACGAGTCGAACCAACAGTCCTGGCCGGCCGGACGGTCGGCCTTGAGGGGGCTGGGTGGGTTGCCGGCGGCCAAGACCAATCAGCCCCGTCGGTTGCTGGGCTCGGCTGGACTCCAGACGACAAGATCTCGGCGCCACATGAAGAGGTAGTCAGGTTTGAGCGGGCCGAGGGCAGAACATGTCAAAAGGCAGTCGCACCCCCAGTCCCAGTAAACCAGAGAGACGATCAGTTGCGCTCGCGGAGACAGAAAGAAATGCCGTAACACACACGAGGCCCATGCGGCAGCAGAGCAAGTGTCTGCCAAACCGCGTTGCCTGGACGCAGAGAAGTGGC